GGATGGTCACGCCGCAATCCCTTCTCCTCCATTCTCCTCTCAGGATCTTGGGCACGCACGCACACACGCCCGGCGTGAGTTTTAAGCCACCGGGTCTGGGACACGAACCGTGGCCGACTACGTGGGAGTCCAGCGACATAGCCATTACGCTAACTGCTGGTTCCCAAAAATTTTTTTAAAAATAACACCATGTGATTTTTGTACTCCAGTATCAAATACAGAGACTAGAAATCACGGCTATATTATGGTGAGGTAGATGATTTTTTTCCCATTTTACAGATGAGGACACAAGGACACAGGCTTATTTACAAACCTCCTCAAAGCCACACAGGTCATCACGGACAGAGTTGCAACCTGTGTTCAAGTTGTTCTGGCCCTAAGGTTCCATCTTGGCTAGAGACAGGACTATTTTCCTCAATATGCACCATCAGCACACCAGTCCCTAAAGCAGTTTTCAAAGGTCTGTGAAAATGATTGAGACCTAGGAAAAAGGATTCTAAAATATGCTAAGAGCCTTCCGACCAAACCAAATACCTGAAATAAATAACTGTTTAATTAAATGACTATAAAGCATAATATTAGGCCAACAAGTCATCTTTTACTCATTTTTGCAGTATTAAGAGTCTTTAAGCCAAGGCAGGCAGGTAATGTGGTGGTTAAGGTGCTGCACTCCCCTATGGTCAACCACAGTTTGAGTCCCAGACCTGGCAGCTTGCTTTCTCATTTTCCCTTTCTCTGGTGAGCACATGTGCCCTATGGCAAACTTAAAAAAAAAAAAAAAAAGTAATACTAAATAAAAATATATAAATAATTCTAAAGAAAAGAAAAAACATTTTAGTCTTATCCACTGTTCTGAGTTTCTGCTTCCCCACATGCTCCAACACAGGATATTATCAAGTTTTTTTTCTAAAGGCTTTTGTCATAGGGTGCGTGCATTCACCAGAGACAGTGAGATGAAAAGTGAGAACTTAGACCCTAGTGGGGATGGCCATGCCACAATCCCTTCTCTATTCTCCTCCCGGGACTTTGGGCACGCACACACAAGACCCGACGTGAGTTCAAGCCACTAGGTCCAGGATTCGAACTACAGGCAGCCATTTGGTAGTCCAGCGCCTTAACTACTATGCCATCTGCTGGCCCCCAAGCTTTAAATCTTTGCTTATTGGGGCCAGCAGGTGGCACTGGGCTCCCAGATGGCTGACCACAGTTCGAGGCTCGGACCCTGAGGCTTGACTTGCTCTCTCTCTCTCTCTCTCTCTGATAAGCACATATGCACTATAGCAAATTAAAAAAAACAAAAACAAAAAAACCAATACAATTAATTAAATAAATAATGTTTAAAAATCTTTGCTTATCTGCTAGGTGAAAAGTAATTATTTTCATTTGAAGTTAAGCAGTTTATTTATGTATTCCTTATTTTTATTTCTTCTCCTGCGAAGTGTCTATTTTTTAATGTATTGAGAAGTGAAAGCCCTTTATCTATTATATATGTTGCAAATATTTTTCCCCGTTGGTCATTTATGTTCTGACTTTGGGTCACACAGAGTGTGTTTTTTTTTTTTTTTTAATTATTTTGTTTAACTTTTTTTTCTTGGAGAGGTTTTTGCTATAGGGCATATGTGCTTGCCAGTAAGACAGAGAGAGACAGAGAGACAGAAAGTGAGAAATCACTCCCCAGGGGGGATGGCCATGGCGCAATCCCTTCTCCTCTTGGGATCTTGGGCACGCACACACACGCGCCTGGCGTGAGTTTAAGCCATCAAGTCCGGAACTTGAACTGTGGTTGACTACATGGGAGTCCAGCAACATAGCCATTACGTCAACTGCTGGTCCCTTATTTAACTTTTTATTTGTTTATTTTCATTTGATTAGACAGGGACAGAGAGAGAGCGAGAGCAAGAGAGAGAGAGAGTGAGAAAGCAAGCTGCCAAGTCCAGGACTCAAACCATGGTTGGCCATGTGGGAGTCCAGCACCCTTAACAACCATGGGCCACCTGCTGGCCCCAAGTGTTGGATTTTTAATGTAATTAGATTTATTATTTTTCTGTATGGCTTCTAAGTGTATTATGATGTTTAAAAAGCCCTTCTTGGCCCCGCTCTTTGGCCTGGTAGTTAAGATGGCTGAGTTCCACATGGCCATCTCAGCAATTGAGCCATACTGGGGTCGTGGTGCTGAACCACATTGGGCATGTGTGCATGCCAAAACTCTCAAAAGGAGGATGAGATGGAGGAGAAGGGGACTGAGAAGTGACCACTCCTACAGAGGTGTTTTCTCCTCTCCCTAATCCTCTCTCTCTTTCTTAATCTCTCTCTCTCTCTCTCTCTCTCGTGCACAGACACCCTCTAGTGTGCGGCACATGCACACACCTTTTTAACTTCAATAATTTAAAAAAAAATCTCCAGTCTTACTTTTCTTGGGAGAGAAGTCTTCATTTTTTATAAAAGAATAATTTATTTCATTTTTTTATTTATTTTAATTTGACCAGAGAGAGGCATGTACCCACCAGAAAGAGACAGAGAGAGAGAGAGAAAGCAAGACTCCAGGTCCAGGACTTGAACCACAGTCAGCCATATGGGAGTTCAGTGCCTTTAACCACCACACCACCTGCTGATCCCAAAGAGTTCATTTTTTTCTTTTTTTGGAGAGGTTTTTGCTATAGGGAGTGTATGCTCACCAGAAAGACAGACAGAGAGATAGAAAGCGAGAAATCACCCCCTAGGGGGGATGGGCACGCTGCAATCCCTTCTCCATTCTCCTCTCGGGATCTTGGGCACGCACCCACACACACCCGGCATGAGTTTTAAGCCACCGGGTCCGGGACGGGAATCGTGGTCGACTACGTGGGAGTCCAGTGACACAGCCATTATGCTAAGTGCTGGTCCCCATTTTTTTTTTTAAAAAAGAATTATTTTATTTTACTTTGACCAGAGAAGGGGACAGATAGAGGAGAGAGGAAAAAATGAGAAAGCAAGAGAGAAGGGGACAGATAGAGGAGAGAGGAAAAAATGAGAAAGCAAGCCACCAGATCCGGGACTCCAAACACTGTCAGCCATGTGAGAGTCTCGAGCCCTTAACCACCACTCCACCTATCAGTCCCAAAGCTTTCATTTTTAAATTCTTAGCTCTCTGATCAAACTGGAGTATATATGTGTGCATTTGCACGCAAGAAAGATAGTAGCTTCTTTCTTTCCATGTGGCTAACTACTTGAACCATATTTATAATATAATAAGACTGCTAGACGCTTTAAACAGGAGAAAAAAGAAGTGGTAAAAGGTTTTCTGTAACGGCGGACTCAGTCGAAAACCTGGTCTCAGGCAGGTTCCTGCCTGCGAACCCCGGAAAGCCAGCGGAACGCAGGTGTGCGAGGGCCGGCCGCCGGACGGGCCCGCAAGTCGAGCACTGCGCAGAAGTCGCGGAGCGGTTTGCCTGAGACACAGAGCCGCTCGAAGGCCGCCGCAATGCTCCCCTCCTTGCAGGAATCTCTGGATGGGGACGAAAAGGAGCTAGAGAGCAGCGAGGAGGGAGGCTGTGCGGAGGAGCGGAGGCTCCCCCCCCCCCCCCCAGCCACTACTGTCTCTACAGCTACTGCGGAAGCAGGTGTGGGCGCCCGAGCCCGACCTACCGGGCGGTTCCTGCGACCCCGCCCGGGCCCGCCGCCTGGCTTTGCACCCCACCCAGGCCAGCGGCTTGGCCGCTTCTAAACGCCATCTCCTCCTCCCCGAGCCCAGGTCGCTGGCCCGGAGAGCTCTCCTCGCCTCCCAGCCCCTGTGCTGGATTTTTTATGCCTAGCGCTCGCAAGCTTCTGTCCTCCTGTCCCTGTATCATCTCCGTCCCTTCCTCTCGCTCCTGGGCCTTTGGTCAGAGCAGAGGCCCACAGGCTCAATTATCCCGGCCCTTCCGGTCATCTTCCCCTTCCTCCCATTTCTGACACATCTCCACTTTCACCCTCCGGTGATCCTCTGTCCTGTGGTTTCTTTTCCCTTCCGCCTGACTTTCCTGGGTTTCGTTGTTGTTTGTTGATTCGTTCGTTTGTTTTGTTTTTAATACTTTTGGGCATTTACCTTTCCTCCATGCCTTAGGTGACCTGGAGAGAAGGGGCTCTTGTCTGCTCTACTTTATGAGTTTTCCTTATCATAAAGATAGGCATGCACTTCGACCTTGCAGCATTTTTAGTTCGCTCCTAGCCTTCCTTGCGTTTGATTGAGGCACCTAGATCCAACTTGATTTAGAGCCCATAATTGATAGGACCATCTCTTTTGTGGCTTGCAGGTTGACACAGCAACGAGGGGACAGTGATGATGGAAATTCCAGTGGCACAAATGCAGAAACTCCCTCTGGTGACGATTTCAGGTAAAAACAGCTTTACTGTCACCTAGGTTGTGTGCTTTAATTTTCCGTGTATCTCGTAGATGTCAGTGGGTACCCTATTTCCACTGCGTTTTCCCTGAGTCAAGCCATCAATTCCTCCTGTCTCCTAGCAACCTCATCCTGATTTCCTCATCAACTCACTCATTAGAGTCTGGGGCAGATCCAAATACTGATAATACTCCTGGTGATTAGCCAAAGAGAATTATTATGAGTTTCTTGATTAGAATGCTAGTAACAGTCGATATGATATTGCTATCAAAATTTTAAATCTTGGGGCCGGCAGGTGGCATGGTGGTTAAGGGCGCTGGACTCCCACCTGGCCAACCACAGTTTGCTTCCAGGACCTGGTGGCTTGTTTTCTTACTTTCTCTCTCTCTCACTCTGTTCCTCTCTGGTCCAATTAAAATGAAATAAATAAATAAAGATAAAATAATTCTTTCTTAAAAATTTAAATTCCCCCTTTGAATATTATTTAGTTGCTCCTCTGCCACATACTAAAACATATATTCCAGGACAGCAGAGAGTCTCTTGTCATTGATAGCTCCCTTCTTTGTACCTTGAATGGTCTTGGCACAGGGAGGACTTTAATACATAGTAATTAAGTGAACAAATGGTCCTTGACCCTTGATGCAACATAAGGTGTAATATAAAACTATTGTGTTCAATAACTAGATGATGGATGATTTAAGGAGTTTTTCAGGTGTCACAATAGTATTGTGGTGGAGCTGGCAGGTCAGTTGTGGTGTTTAAAGGTGCTGAATTCCATGGTACGAATCCCAGACCTCATAGCTTGCTTTCTCGCTTTCTCTTAATGTCTCTCCCTGGTTGAATTAAAATATAATAAATAAATAAATAAAATAGTATTGTGGTTATATACACAGATAGATAGATAGATTTAGCTATGTAATTACATATCTTTAACTGTATATCTCAAGTCTTTATCATTTAGAGATACATAGTGAAAACTTTATGGATAAATAGTATAATGCCTGGGATTTGCTTCAAAATAATTTGGGAGGTAGAGGGGCAGGGGGACGGCATGAGGGTACAGATGAAATAAAATTGGCCATGAATTTATAGTCATTGAAGCTGAGTAGTGACGGACTGGCTCCGTGACCTGCTGGCGAAGGCAGCTGGGTCCTACTTGGCCTACCCTGTAGTTCAAGTTCAGGACTTGGTGGCTGGTTAAACATGCTGGGTGCCTGTGCATGTATGCTCAAAATCCTGACAGAAGAGAGAGAAGGAGGAGATGGCAGTGCTGGATGACCATTCCTTTTGGAAGGTGCTTTCTCTTCTTCCTTTCTCTGTCTCTGGCAAGTGCACGTGCCCTATAGCAATAAATAAGTAAAAATAAACATAAACAAGATGGGTGGCCAGCAGATGGCAGAGTGGTTATGTCACTGGACTCTCACATGGCCAATCATGGTTCAAGTCCTGGACCCAGTAGCTTGAAAAATCACACCAACTGCATGTGCGTGCGTGCCCAAGATCCCAGAGGAGAATGGAGGAGAAGGAATTGTGGTGTGGCCATCCCTCTTGGGGGGTGATTTCCCACTTTCCCTCTCACTGTCTCTTTCTCTCTCTACATGCCCTATAGAGAAAAGAAACTCTAAAGAAAAAATAAAATAAACTAGGTGGTAAATATGTGTGGACTCATTATATTGTTCTGTTATTTTTTAATATAGAAATTATTTTTCTTTTTTAAAAGACTTATTTGTTTAACTTTATTTATTATTATATTATTATTTTAACTTTATTTATTTATTTTAATTTGACTGGAGAGGGACAATGAGGGAGGAGGGAGTGAGAAACCAAGCCGCCAGGTCCAGCACACTTAACCACCATGCCACTTGCAACCCCATTATTATTATTATTATTATTTATTTTTATTTTTTGAGAGGCTTTTTCTACAGGGCGTGTGCGCTCACCATAAAGACAGAGAGAAACAGCGAGACAGAAAGTGAGAAATCACCCCCCAGGAGGATTGGCCATGCCGCAATCCCTTCTCCATTCTCCTCTCAGGATCTTGGGCACACACTCACACAGGTCTGGCATGAGTTTAAGCCACCGGGTCCAGGACTCGAACCGCGGTCAACTACATGGGAGTCCAGCAACATAGCCATTACACTAACTGCTGGTCCCATTATTATTATTTTTAATTTGACCAGAGAGAGACAGAAAGTGAGAAAGCAAGCCACCGGGTCTGGGATGCGAACTACATTCATCCATGTGGAAGTCCATTACCTTAACCACCATGCCACTTTTTAGCCCCTGTTCTTTACTTTTTATATGTTTGAAAATTTCCATCATATAAAAGACCTTGAGAGGTACTGGGTACATACTTTTTTTTTTTTTTTTTTTTTTCTGAGAGGGTG